GCGGGTCCTCCAGGGACTTGGGGAGTCCTCATTAGGAGCCAGGAGTTGGGTCTGTGGACCGGAAGAGGCTCCACGCGAGGGTGTGGAGGAGGGGCAGAGGCGTCCGTTCCTCCGGAGGGTCGAGGAGGGGGAGGGCGGCACGTTCCCTCGGGCGAAGGAAGGGGACCTCGGGGCAGATTCCCAGGGTGCCGGGGCGGGCTTCCTCCCTGTGGGCGACGAAATGGGGTGGGTCCCTGCGGGGAGCTTTAAGCAGGTTTTCTACCAAGAGGGAGGACCGGCGCAGCTCTGCGGGGGAGCTAGGGCCAGTCTCAGTGGGAGGAGGAGCGTTCCAGGCGCTGGCGGGGTCCTCGGGTGACGTAGAGGAGGAGGCGGTGGCTACCCTTCTGCTCTGGTCTAGCTTCGGCTTCCAGAACTCAGGCGGGGTAAAAAGAGCCAGCTTGGGAGGACTGGCCGCCAGATGGCGCTCCTCGGCCAAGCTGGAACGGCTGGCGCTGGCGAGGCGTCTGGACCTTCAGGCCTGGAGTCTGGCTGTGAAGGGTCGGACTAGGGAAAGCCCGTAGTTTTGAAATCACTCAGCTGTGTGCCAGTCTCCTCTTGTCTCAAACTCCTGTGTCCTCAAGAGCTCCCAGTTGTGCACTGATTTTTTTTTTTTTGTGCCTCTAATCAGGTAGGTAGGTCAAAGGTCTAAAGTTTGGAAGAATAAAGAGGTGGAGAGCTCCAGTAACCACGATCACCCAGCACAGAGCTGAAAACAGACCCAGGAGACCTGACTCCAAGGCCAAAGACTGATACTTTGACATACTAAATGTCTTGCATAAAAGCTGGCTCTTCTGGGGAGAAGGACCCACCCCCTGGGTGTCAGGGATTTGGACTCTCTAGGGTGGACTTTAAACCAAATTCATGCAAACTCTAGCTTTTCCTGGTTCTTTACTCTGGCTGCTAGCCATGTTAGTGTTGTGAGAATCCAATAGTTTCCTGAGGGAGAAGGAGGAGGGGGACCCTTGGTGACAGGAAAAGGTAGTAGGACCAGAGCTTGTCAGGTTTTTTTAATCCTCTATTTAAGAAGATAAAAAAGTAATGGAGATACAGGGGAACCGAGACAGATGATTTAGAAATCACAGACTGGGAAAGATAAAGAATTAAAATTGTTGATGTCTCTGGGGAGGAGACTTAGTAAAATCTTTTAAGCTTATATTCCAGATGCTTTATTTCTTGATATTACAACATGCAAGTGTCCTTTCCCTCTGACCCCAAACAGAGCTGATCAGGAATTACTCCACTGAGAGTTCTGGGGTCCAGACCTAAGTGTGGCCCTTCACCTTCTAGAACTCCTCCTTTCTCATTCTGTTATGTCCAACCTTCAAGAGAATTGGATAGGAAAGAAAATTCAACTTCTAGTCTTTTTTCTTTTTCCATTATCTGGTACCTACTGTTTACAGGTGACTACAGCTCTTTTCCTTCCAAAAGTTAGTAATCTAATAGACATTTTTACTTTTGCAAGATTTTTTTTT